TTACAGTGAAAATTACAAAGATCGGGTCACTATAACCTATAGCTCCCATACAACTGATTGTTCAGATATAAAATTTTTCGTTATAACTCCTCCATTTATATAGCTAGGAACATGAAATTCCGCACTGTTTTCAATAATTATTAACAGAAAACTTACGGTGAAAATTAAAAAGATCGGGTAACTATAACCTATAGCTCCCATACAACTGATTGTTCAGATATGAGATTTTTCGTTATAATTCATCCATTTATGTAGCTAGGACCATGAAATTTCGCGCTGTTTTCACTCATTATCAACAGAAGACTTACAGTGAAAATAACAAAGATCGGGTCACTATAACCTGTAGCCCCCATACAACTGATTGTTCAGATATGAGGTCTTTTATCATAACTCCTCCATTTATGCAGCTAGGAACATGAAATTTCGCACCATTTTTGCTCATTATCAACGGAATACTTACAGTGAAAATAACAAGGATCGGGTGACTATAACATATATGTATCTTCCATACATCTGATTGTTCAGATATGGGATTTTACTGTAAAACTCCTTTATTTGAACAGCTAAAACCGATAAATTTCGTAAGATATTTTATAAATAATAATACAAAGTCTACTGAGAAAATCGTCAAAATCTATTCTGTATAAGCTTTATCTCCTATACCACTGATTGTTCAGATACCAGTTTTTGCGATATATCTTCTTTATGTAGGAAACTAAACCCAATAAATTGTGTTACCGGTTTACATACCGATCACATAGCAGTGAAAATCACTTAGATTGGTGCCATATAGAGTATATCTTCCATACCTCCGATTGTTTAGATGCGATTTTTTATATAAGTATGTAACTCCTCTATCGATGTATGCAGATGTATTCAAAAGCAGTAATCTGTCAAAGTAAAATTTGCAGATGTTCATGAAAGGTATGAAGCCTTCGGCATAGCCGAAGACAGCGCTGCTCTTACTTGTTTATTAAAGGTTTGTTGCTATAAGCAAGTAGCGCAGGCAAGTCGCACTGCGCTTGTGCAAGAAATAAAAATGCTCTAACTTAGGCCAGGTACTCCGCATAATAAGTAAATAAATTCAAAGCTTGTATGAGATTTATTTTGGTATTTATGTACTCTTCTGTCAGGAAATAATGACTATTGTACATCCAGAACACAAATGCGATCATAAAGAAAATCGCATGAAAGTATGCGCTTTGTGTGTAGGGCTGCCAGACGTCCCGGTTTTCCCGGACATGTCCCGGTTTTAGACTATTTGTCCCGGTGTCCCGGTCCAACCTTAAAATGTCCCGGGTGTCATTTAAGTGTCCCGGTTTTCGATTTGATTGCACAAATTTTGCTTAAAAATGACTACGCTGAGAAAAAAAAGGCGTTGCAATATTAAGAAAAATTTTATGAATTTACTTGGGGAAATAACGCATAGTAAACATGAATATGTTTTATTTGATTATCGTTTTGAAATGTTCGTACTTAAAAACAATACTTTCATACCACGCACACGTGGTGTTGAATCAAACTGAACATTTGAATGCACATTTACATGTCAGGGTTCAAATCCCATTACAGACAGCATGGAATTTAAATAAATTTTTTTTAACTTAATTATGAAAAAGCATCCGTTAAGTGCATAGCGCTTCATTTTAATATTGGCGTATTTCAATTGAATATTTCTATACTAAATACTAAATTTTGTATACTTAAATTATTACGAGTTGGGTTTGGTGCTCTTTCATATGCGATTTTTTTTTTTTAATGTAGCACGTTTTGCATAAGCAATAGTTGATGATTAATATAAGTATGTACCTAAATACGTTAAAATGGCATGCACATAGTTTTACAATATAGCAAAAGCCAGAAGTTTTGAAACAAGCTCACAGCAACGAAACAAATGACTGATATTTTAATGTTACCTTGTATTTATTTATTTTTTTTTCGTGAAACCTAGATTATTTATAAGTACATATTTTGAACATATTTTGTATGGAAGAAACTCTCAGTAAAAACAATACCAAATAGATTGCCTCGTTCAAAGCCATGAGCAAAATCGTGAATACATGGTTTTCCGCAAAACAAGCGGATCTTAGTAATTTTGATAAAAATCTTAACGAACTTCGCACAGCTTTGAAAAGTACTGGAATTTCTCAAACTGTCAAAATCCATTTTATCCTCAAACATTTAAAGCAATCTAATTCATTCTTGAATAACGAAGGTTTAGGATTATGGTCCGAGCAGGCCGGGAAGTCAGTTCATAGGGAATTCATTAAATTCTGGGATAGATTCAAAATAAATATGATTGATAAACCAACTTTTGTGAGTCGGCTGAAGAAAACTGTAATGACATTTTCATTCCAGCATATATAAAAACTTAACTAAATAATAAAATATTTAAATACTAAAATGTGTGACTATATTATATGGTAAACCAACAAAAAAAAATAAAAGGAAACAAAAAACAAATATAAAAAAATAAAGCAAGTAAAAAATATAAAAAAATAAAACCAAAAAAAGAACAAAGAGGTGCAAAGTAAGTTGCCTCTACGTGGTGCGCCTTGGAAACGATTGAAACCGGCTAAAAACTTACATAAACTTATATTTTCAAATAATATATATACACACATTTACTCACACATACATTGTTGAATATTTAATGCACAAGGATGTTTTTCTCTTTCGCAAAAGTCGGTCCTATCATAACTATTAAAATGTGGATATCTTTAAAACAGGAGCAGCTAGGATTTCAATTCAAAGGGATTCTTAACCTAAAAATATCAACAAATACAACCCTGCTTTCAGTTTTTGTCGACATTTTTATGCCACCTATCGTTGCTTCCTGCCCACCGTGGATATAAATGAAAAGAATTTATTGGCAACGCTAAAGGAGATACGCCGCAAGAGGTGGGCTCATAAACTGAAATTATTTATTATTAAGTTGTTAATTTATTCACTTCCCTGCAAACCAAAGTTCCCGAAATCTTAACGAAATCTTTAGGAGTATCTGATTTCTGTAACGATTTTTTTCCGAATCTTCAAAGAAAATAATATGAAGTGGTTGACACGAACTCGTAAAGAAATTTCTGTACGAAAAATAAAGAAAATTCTGAAAAAAGTCTGCAAGAAATTCTTCACATAGCAGCATTATTTTCATTTCTTTACCGATTTTCTTCCGAAATTTCGTAAAAGAATGGAAGTGTGCGTAATTTATTTCATTTTAGAAAATTCGGCAAAAAATCGGATAGGATCTTTCCGAATTCTTTAAAAATTCTTTACGATTCAGAATACTCTGTAAAAATGGTTTGCAGGGTTCATACTGATTATGCTGCTGCATTGTCGCCCATTTTCCGTAATCGCGACATGAAACTACTGGACAAAGCTGTTTGGTGGGTGGAACATCTGCTGCAGGAGCAGGGCAAAACGGCACACAAGCTATTGCAAACAAAGGCGACTAAATTAAATTGGTTCGTCTATTATTCACTGGATAGTGTGTGTATTTTGCTTGGCATTGTCGCGGTTTTTATTGTCATTGCTCGTGTGGTTTTGCGACGATTGCTGGCTATTTTCAAACAAAGCAATCCAAAGAATGCCAAACACTAAATAAATCAAAAACTACACGAATATCTATAATTTGTATAGCGAATTTGTAAATATGTATGTCTATAACTTATTCTACAGTCCATAAGTGCAAGTGTGAATATTTGAGTCAATCAGCAAAAACGAATCTAAATTTAGTAAATTTTTTTTTTTGAAGCAAAAAGTGAAAGAGTAAATATACTTTAATATTCTTAATTATATACAACTAACTTTATTCCAGATTTTGATATTTTGCAATGCTTAAGAAAAGAAGTAGTCGCGAGTACCAGGTATGCACTCATACAATTTGTGTGTAAAATTATGTGTCCTGAAATGGAGGTAACATTAGCATTTTGACAACCCTCGGCCGCGCTTAGAAAAAATAACCCTAATCAGTCCAACTTTGGCGACTCATAGCATTTTGCCGCAGGCATAATATTTGAAAACTGAAATTAGGAAGCGATAAAAAAAATTAAATTAGACCGCCGAAGAAATAAGAAGGCAGCCTTAATTTAATTTAATTTTTATTGCTAACAGCATAACGCTAAGGGCCGTTTTCACCGTCTCTGGTTAACACTCATCCTCAGTTAAACATCGTTACCGACGTCACTGACTCCATGCATATAACGTTGTGTCGATAACGTCGGTAACGATGTTTAACTGGAGATTAGAGTTAACCAGAGATGGTAAAAACGGCCCTATGACTTCCTCGTTAGCAGATCTTTCAATTAGTCTTTCGAAAGAGAGTAAAGAGCTTTCAAGATAGTGGCCAGAATTGACAATTGCCTTTTATCTTTCCAAGAGCGAAATAAACTCTCAAGCTGGAAAACTAGGAATTTTGACTGTTCAGTTACTAGACTTTCGAGGGTTTCGCGGATTTTTCCAGCTTGAGAGACTACGCCCCCAAGATATTTTTTTTACCCAGAAATCACTTGCAACGTTTCTTCCAATTGCAAGGCTTTTTCTTTTGCGTAATTTGTATAAATCCGTTGACAATTTATATTGAATTAAAGAGGCAAAAATCATTCACGTAATCAAATAATTTTACCGCAAAAGCATTTTTACATATTTTTAGTGGCTGCGCAAATTTTTCCATGGTTGCACCTACATACGAGTACATATTAACAGCTTCGAAAAATTCCTTGATCAAATCGAAATGATTAATTAACGTGCGAAAAAGAAATATAAATATCAGACATATGTATTTATAAGTATATTCTTATATATACATACGTATATACACTGCCGGTAAAAAGTATTGGCACAGCTGCTTTTTACAATACAGTGAAACCCGCTTAAGTAATGACTATGACAATGGCAAAGCAAAGCAAAGCAAAGCGAAGGATGTATGTATGTATCAGAGAACAGCTTTGAGTATGATCGAGCCTTTTTGATCACACTCACTAAAAATCAAGCACAAGCGAACGCCACACTCGGCTACTATGTGTTCGATCGAGATGCATACCCGACAGCTGCTTTGGTTACGAACGAGTCTGTTCGATTACCCTCGCTATAAATTGAGCACAAGCGAACACCACACTCGGACACCCGCAGCTAACCCGAAAATTTGTGTAACAATGAAACGAACATTGCGATAAAATGTAGGACAACAAAGAAATTTACGCTGAAGGTAACTGGCGCCAATATGTTCCCACAAAGCATACGAAAATGTTGTTGCTTTGTGCTTGTGCATACGCAATGAAAAAATTAGAAGCGAAGTAGACAAAAATGTTTTTGCATCTATTTCGTATAGTTTCGCGTGGAAAGCTGTGTGAGTATATACTAGAACACACAGCCTAAAACTATGTACATCTACATAGTACAAAAGTACTTTTACAAAAAATAAATGTGCACCGAGTGTATAGGGCTTAGGCAATGCCGATCTACACACAATTATACCTAAATGGAAGTAGGCGTCGTGATGTCGCATTTTGTATGAGCAAAAATATAAGAAATGGTTAAATGTACACTTAAACAAACTACCGAAAAATTCAACGTTCCCTTTGCCCTCTACGCACAAAAACTAAGAACACCGCGATGAGAAGGCAACATTTTTTGTAGAAACAAAAACGTCATAAGCCAATCAAGAAAATTTTGTGCACACTCGGGTTGAAACTCGAACACCCGGGTATATTGAGCTGCAAAGCACCCGAACCCAATCAAGTATGTATGAAAAACAATCGGGTGTTGTGGCCAACATGTTCGTCTTGAGCTCAGTCGATAACGAACAATACTTCTGCTCGTATACAGAGAACGATGCAAAACGGGTTTTGTTAGATGATCGAGTATACACGAAAATCATGCACCCGCTGCAGATGTCTGGTATGTATGTACAGATGATCGTACTTATGATCTAAGTGTAGAGCGCAAATGCAATAGCAGACTAGCAAACATTTGGAAATAAGAGCGTTAAAAATAAAAATCCATAAATAACTGGATATGTACGTTTGTCTGCTTAATAGGTTTAGTATGTAAACATTTTTATGTACATATGCATTATTGTGGTCCAAAAATGCATGTGAAAAAGTTAAAGTCGAAATTTGTATGCTCTCACCTCCCTAGGATTGTTCTACACCAAAAAAAAATATACCCTATTTTTATTTTGAAATAAAAAAATATTTAGAGGTCACTACAATCGCCCAAAGTTGTCAATATTTCAATATTTTTCTATCAGAAAACTCCGCTTATCTGCAGGAGATTCCCAATAATAATACCCCATTGTTTATTTAATCATTTTTTTATCGCAACTATAATTTATAGGTCCGCCAAAAACCCACAAAAACCCCGAAAAATGCAATGGCGGGACCAATAAAAAATCTTTAGCATTAAAAATGGTTAAATAAACGATTGGGTATTATTATTGAAAGACTGCTGAAAAGAACCAGAGTTTTCCGATCGAAAAATATTGGTTTTCAAGAATTCTATACCATTTCTACGAAAATTTTTATATATTTTTTTCATATAAAAATACATGGAAAACTTTGAGCGCTTTGAGCGACCTCTAAATATTTTTTGATTTCAAAATAAAAAAAATTGGGATATACTTTTTTCGATATAGAACAATCCTAGGGGGTGAGAGCATTACAATTCCGACTTTACTGTTTTTGGAACACCCTAATGCATGCTTACCATGCACCAGCGATCGTGACTGATATTTCATGTTTACTTGCGCTGCATATGAACAGCATACGGATGTGATTTATCATCTTAATACTGAGGCAATTCAATGTCGCCCCCCCGCCTTCCCCCCGCCCATTCTTTCCCTAGAGCACAAAAGTAGAACTATGACAAAAAATATACCTACCAATATTAGGGGAAACAACATTCTAGGGCCTGGAACCCAACATTGTTGTGAGATTAAAACATAGTAAGCCTTTCCAGTTTGTTACCTTTCCAATTTGTATACCAGATTTTAAACAAATAAATAGATACCGTACTCGCTCTGAGGGTATTTTTATTATTTGACAGTTTTACTGGATTTAGTCCGAGATGCACGGAATCAGGGTTACTACAAGTATCTGCCTGTCCGTGTTGGAAGTTTCTTCCTTCGAGCGTTTACGTTTTGAGAGACAGCCTTACCGTCCAAAAAGGACTGCGCCTATGCCTTCGAACCGGATTAAAGCCATTGACATTTTCTAGAATCCAGAGCGCTGATTTTAGCAGGATCTCAACTAATTTCTTTCCGTCCTGTTGTCGTCCAAAGTGACTCCGTTTTTCGGGTAGGAGGACACACGAAAAGTCTGAAACCCCATTTGGAAGCAAACGGTTCGGAGTGGTCTTTCGCAATTCTGGCGGAGCTGGTGGTATTGCTCAACGTCATTTTACACAGCCGTATCAGTTTCGCGGGGATACCAAATTCAGACATAGCGGCGTATAGGCAACTCCTTTTAGTGCTGTCGAAAGCGGCTTTGAAGTAGACAAATAGATTGTGAGTGTCGGTCCTTTTCTCGCGGGTCTTTTCCAAGATTTGGTGTATTATGAATACCTGGTCTATGGCAGTTTCTTTTTTCTCTGCGGCTTCTTGACACCTCTCATCGTACCAGTTGTTCTTTCGGGCTCGCTGAAATCCGACTACTTCTTCGGCGGTAGTTTGTTAAATCGTGCTTCCTGAGAACAGGTGTGAGAGGCGAGTACCGAATGGATATTTTTATGCTTGAACCTAGTACTGGATACTACCATGTTTCGGGCCCCGGTGAAGTCGATCAGCCTCAGTCCGTTGTCGGACATTTCGTTGTGGACGCTGAATTTTCTGACGGTGGTTCCAACGATCCCTTCCTTGCCCACCCTGTCATTGAATTCGCCAAGCACGATTTTGACATCATGGCTTGAAAATTTGCCATTACTAAGAGAAGCCGAATTAGAAGTCTTGAAACTTCCATAAAAGAAAAGGAGTAACGAGTCGAGCATGGAAGGGCTGTCGCTTTAAGAGTTCCGAAAAAATCCCTTAAAGTCGACGGAAAAGTTTTGAGCCTAACAGTTTCTAAATTTATTTAATGAGTACCGATTACTTGGTGCTGTTAAATTCTTCAGCATAAATGTGCTGACTTATTTTTTCACTGCCTCTAACTTTTTCTAACCTCTCACTGGTCTCACTGTCTCTAAAGACTACTGTTGCCAACAGTCGTTGCTTGAGCTCATCTGCTCTTTTGCCAGAGTGCCAGGCCACTTGCTCAATTTGGTGAATACCACTAATGTGTTTCAAGCATAAGATTTAGATTCAGATTAATACAAGTATGAAGGTAGAGTTGAATATGTAGATGAAGAAAGGTTAAAGACAAAAATAAAAATTAAAATAAAGATACGTAAAGATGAAGACAAACAAGAATTTGAATTTAAATACTTAATCAGCTTCATTGCGAGTATCGTGTCGATTGCAAGTCGTTTTTCGAGAGTCGAGTCGCATAGAAAAATTCCACGGCATTGCCTGGAATTTCGACTCGATTAGTGCATTAAAACGGAAAAATTCGGCAGCACTGGATAGTTTTCGACGAATTTCGGAAGATAAGGATATAAATAAAAATAAAGATAAAAATGAGAATAAAGATAAAATAAACACAGGGATAAAGATAATGAAAAATATAAAGATAAAGATAAAGACAAAAACAGCGATAAATATAAATATAAAGATAAAGACAAAGACAAAGATATAGATAAAGATTAAGATAAAACTAATGATAAAGATGAAGATGTAGATGAAGATGAAGATGAATATGAAGATGGAGATAAAGGCGAAGATAAATATAATTATTAAGATAAAGACAGAGATAGAGATAAATATAAAGATAAAGATAAAAATAAAGATAAAGCTAAAAATAGAGGTAAAGATAAAGATGAAATAGGAGATAAAGATAAGGAGACAAGACGAAAGACAAATTGATGATTACCTCACCCAGGGGCGCACCCAGGAATATATTTTAGGGGGGGTTTTATATTTCTGAAGATATATCACCGGAAAATACTGAAAATTTGCTTCAGATAATACCCTCCTTAAAATACATTTATGCAAGTTTTATGTACAGTATGTAATAAATAAATAAACGTTTTAAAATTCATAAACTGCACTTTATTTACAGATTAACAGAAGTCAAACGCTTTTAACCGACTTCAAAAAAAGGGATGTTATCATCTCGCCGGAATACATAACTTTGGACCAAGTGAACCGTTTTCAATAATCCTTTTTTTATTAGAAAGATAGTACCTCAAGGTCGTCCCGTAATTTGTTTTAGAGATCCGATGATTGGATCATGAAGAAATTAACGGTACCCTTAAATTTGAATATGAGAATTGAAGTCGGTTGTGTTCTTTCCTTAAAAACTACTTGCTTAATAAAAAGTTCTATAAGATGCGCTCAACTTTCAAAAGTACCTAATAAAAATTTTAAAAAAGAGTAAAAATAAATTTATTGATTCCATGAATTTTTGCACTTCTATGTTCATTCTTTCGATTTCTCGTTTTCGATAGAGATGGTGATTTTTCACGATTGCTAAATTTTTTTAATATTTCAAATACCGAAAAAATTAACTGAACTCCCAAGAAAAACGAAAAATTCATATAAAACGACAGACGAGAAATAGAAAAGAAATTTTCTTCTACCAAAATTTCTTAAATCAGTTTGCAGCTCTCAAGAAAAAAAATGCTCGTATATTTATTCCCTCATGAAAATTTACAGCAAAAGCAAAGCGCTTTTTCAAGCAACAGAAATTATAATAAATATTTCTTATAATTTCCTTGAGAGCTTTAAGATACAGATTGTATTTGAGGTTATTAGCTTTAGGGGGGGTTTGAACCCCAAAACCCACCCCTTGTGTGCGCTAATGACCTCACCTCATCTGAACTCAGCGCACCCAATTGCCCTCATTCTCTACTTTAGGTTCGCTAAATATATTTTATTTTGTAGGGTAAAAGACAGCTGACTGTTGTAATGTTAAATTTCAACCACTGGGAAAACACTATTAAGAAGAATTTAACAATTGAAAATGGAGACAAAACTTAAAAAGACAAAAATTAAATGAATATTCACTACGCTCAATTAAGTTAGAAGATATGTATCAATATCATTCAATTTGAATATCAACTGAAGTTGACTAGTTTAAGTTAGTTGAGAGAGCCTTTAAATCTGCCAGTAAAAACTTTTAAGTAAATACGCCATCATTGATACAAAGGTGAAAATAATTTATTTTTAGCATCCCACATTTTTTATTGCGTTTATGAATGCAGTGGCGAGCATATACATAAATAAGGAAGCGACATTTTAACAAGTTTTGGCTAAAACAACGAATTTAAAACTTTGTGCAAAAATTAAGAAAATTCGACAAAGTTTCATCATTTCAAACTTTTTAATCTGGATTTTTAGAAAAAAATTCCTATTCAGTTTTGTAGTCCAGTGCGAATTTGCAGTAGCTAGGATTTAGCGTAGATTTTTGTTTTTATTTGCTGGCGTTTTCACAAAGCATGTTCGAAATGTTTTTTATATGGAGGAAAATGCACAAAACCGCCAGCCAAAGAAATAATTCCCGAAATATATGGAAAGTCCTAGTTACTTCAAACTACTATTATATGTATTTATTATACTACAAAACTGCATACCTAGTTTGTTTTTTTTTTGAAATTTTAAATAAAAAGTTTGCAATGTTTATGATACTTAAAAAAAAAAAGTTAAATAAACAAAAGCAAAATAGCCAAAATTGTTAAAGTGTCGCGTCTTTATTTGCTTGCTCGCCACCGTATCTATCAAAGTTAACTTGTGGATATGTATGTACATATGTATCATAAATAACTAGTTTATAAGAAGAAAATAGTATAAAATGAAAAAAATAGTAAACGATTATTTGGCAGTAGAGCAAAAAGGAAATTACTTTGTATCGAGTTTTCGTGTTTTCGAAATAGTATACAAACAAAGGGTTACTTCATTCAAATCTCCTCATAGTCATATTCATCGAGATTGTCATCACTTCTGCTTCGTATGATTTTTGTGCTATTGTTCACGCCGCTAATGCCGCTGCTGCTACTGCCGCTGTGATTACCATTTACATTGCTGCCAATGTTGCTATTATAATAGTTGCTGTTGTATTCGTTGTTAGTGTTCTTGTAGATCAAATCAACACTGCTAATGACGCCACCGAAACTGGTTGCGGACGTGTTGTTCTTAATACCGCCGCCGCTGCTGCTGCTGCTACTACCGCTGATGGGGGCGACGCTGCCACCAACGCCACTAGGTTTGTTCGTCGAGCAAAAAATTTGTACGAATTTGTACGAATTATCACCATTTTTGCCCAAATCGCGTTCGTGCAGACCAAAAAATTATCCAACACTCAAAAATTGTGAGAGCAAAGTGACAGTTCTCTTGGAGAGAAGTTGCAAATTCTTGCTGGAAAAAATTTTGCCAGCAAGAATTTGCAAACACGAGAAACATGTGGTTGTGACGCATGGTTGCATTTTTGTCTACAATAATTTGAATAAATTAGTTCGTTAAATTTAAAAATTTATAAACACGAGCGATTTTTTTATGAAAAAGGAAGTAAATAATTGTTGATATAATTAATTTAGTTAATTCCAATGATTTGAACTTAATTCGACTGAAAAAAATGGTATTCGCAATCGAAATGCAATTGCAACCAGAGTCGATTTAAGAAACCCGACAGCTAGTACGATGAAGAAATTTAAATGTATGTTAAAGAAAGTCAGAACAACAAGAAATATACATGTACATATATCCTGTTTTTGGCCATCCGAAAGAATTTTAAAAATTCTATAAAAATTTTTTATGTTTGAAATGCAACCGTGGACGCCAGCTGGCAGCGAAACTTGTAAATTCCTGCAAATTTGCGTTCGTGCAGAAATTTGCAAGTTTCTCAACATGAGAGAGAATTTGAGAGAATGTTTTCTTACTCTCTGATATTTTGAGTGTTGGATAATTCTTGCTGGATTTTCGACGAACAAACCTACTGTGATTATGGTTATTGTTGCTACTGCTGCTAACACCACGATTGACGTTGCTGCCAACATTGCCGCTGCTGCTGCTGCTGTTACTGCCGCCGCTGTTGTTCACATTTCCGCGACTTCGATAATCACGTCTAGGGACACGAATTTCGATACGATACGATACCATATCGATACTTTTGGCATTCGATACCGATAATTTCTACTCGACAGTTTTATAACGATATTTTTTGGAATCGAGTACCAGAACCCTAGTATCGTATCGA